TTCATAATGTTCAGCTTTTGGCTACACGACTTTGCTGCAATGCATCTGAGCCATCTTCATGAACCTTATTAAGGTTATTTGAGAATTGATGCATGATCCCTCGTTACTTACGTGACGGAGTGGCCACTGTATGCATTTGATTGGAGAGTGAACAAAACCGCAAAAAATAAAGGTGGACGTAAAACTAAAAGGAATTTTGGGGGTTTCTGCAAGTGTTTAACTTTTTTATGTTTATGATTACTGATTGGATTGTTCCATTAAGAATAGGTTTAATTTAATTTTCTGTATGATTTTTCGCTGACGACGCGGATGTTATTGTTATTTAAAGGTCAATGAGTTAAAGTTAAGCAAGAAACTGTCGGTGAAGTAATTGAGTCTGCATTTTAACTAATTGATAAGAACTAATTATGACATGAAACATATTGGTGAATTGTAAAAAAGGCCTTTTTAAGTTGGTACGTAATGGAATGAAAGCATTTTCAGCTGTTATTTTTTCTTGAGCGTGATATAATAATGATAATGATAATGTTTGATTGGAAGTAAATATGAGAATGATTGCCGATTGGTTATCTTTGGAAAATTTGCTGGGCAGTGGGCTTGATGCAGTTCAGGAATCAGGATCACCCTCCAAGAAGGTTCAATATTTTTGAGATAAATAGTTTTTGAAAGATTTCATGCATTAGAGTTGATACTATGGTACCGAAAATGCTTTTTCATTTTTGTTTTTCTCGTATCTAAGACTGCATTGAGTCAGTTATATTTTTTTTGGTAGATTTTTTAAATGTTAATAACATTTTGTTAACAATATTGTTTTACAACATTTTTTAACAAATTGAATAATATATTGGCTTACCGAATACCACGACTATTATAAATATAATTAACCAAATCATTAAGCACTTTGTAATTGTAGTATAAGTAAACGCTACTTATTTCACTTTTGCCGATAAATAAGATTATTTGGATATTCAGATATCAAAGCACGTGCCTATCAAACATTTTTATGCAGTATGACCGTAAGCTGTATTTGTGCTAATCTTATGAACATTTAAAAATGATCGCGCTAAATTGGGCCCAAAATCACTGTAACTACATTTTATCTGGTTCAGGTTGACGTCTGTTAAATGTTAAAAACAAAATAGGCTGCCTTAAAGAGGAAGGCAGGAAGGCTATGCTGAGGGGCCCGAAAAGCTGTGTGATACCTACAGGATAGCATTAGAGGATAGCATTGTAAAGTGTACTTATGGACTATGAACAAATTTTCGTTAAAGATTGAAACAAAATTATCTGTAAAACTCACAAATTTATTTCACAATATTTATATCTCAAAGGTTAACACTTACAGAATTGAAAATAAAAAAGTAAAACTAAACCATTTATAATAATACAAATTATAATTTGTGCAGTGCATTTCTAGTCACAATATTCAGTTTGAGCAATGGAAAATATGTATGACGACAAACACTTGCTTACTTAAACTCCACCCCGTACCCAATTTTAGTTAATACTATGTTTAAATGAGAATCTAATATTAATAAGATTCGATTTGTCTTAATCTAATTTAGTCCAACCAATACAAAAAATGAAACTTGGATATCAAATCTAAAAATGTCACCTGATTTTATGTTTTAGCACAATTTTCTTGAAAAACAATGCAAATATTAATAAGAACAAAGAACTATACATAGTACAATAAAGCAGGGATGCTTCAGCCGTAGAGATAAAATGCAACGAACGCGGAATAAATTAAATTCCTAATCACAAATTATAGTCCTCATCCTAATTCCTCTCCAATTTACATATCGACGACCTTCCTTGTCTTGCCCATGCTCATTCCAGTTTGGCTGTCTCCCTCAGTGAAGCCCATCTGGCCTCCCAACACGAACTTTCCAGCGTTAAGTGTAGCTTCATCGAAATCTCTCTCGTTTTTCTCAGCTATTTTGGTACCGATGCAAGGACCTGCATATCCCTTGGAGCTTGCAAAGGAGCTTACAGCGTAAATTGTAGAAATGATCTGATTGGTTAGAGTGGGTTTATTTTAAGGACGTGAACAGTGTGACTAGCGAAGTGGCTTAGGTGGCAGGAACTTAATTGTTAATCCTGACACCTTAGAGATTTCAGATCTCTTCTATTTCAATTTTATGCGCGCGGTCGTTTCAAAATTTGTTCCAAAATTAAACTAGAAAAATTCCACGGTAAGTTTGCCAGTGTTAGTGTTAGTTATCTGAAACCAACCTTACCAAAACGAATTTGGTGAACTGGTTTATTTCTAGTACAATTCTAATGTTTTTTCCGATGATCAGTTTTCAGCATCTTTGGACACAAATGGCCACGGGAAAGTTTATACCGTACCAACAGATGAAGACGCTTTTCAAATACCATAAGAAGAATTAAAATATAAAAATTACAAGTACAAGTCTAAATTAATATTATAGTTCAGAGTGATATGATTTACTTGGTTTTCCAAATGTTTTTTTTTTTTCCAAAAAAACTTGAAAGCAACCGCGGCAATAACGGAAAACTAATCAACTAAACATCAACATTTAGTTAATTTCTCATCACTCTAACTGTCCAGCACCAACACCACACGATGATGGTCCTTAACGTTTCTAATCAATAATGTTTCTATTTTTTCCTATGTTCATGCCAGCCTGGGTCGCTCCTTTGTAACAACTCATCTGCTGGCCTATAATAGTGTCTCCCGCTTTAAGCTGCTCCTCGCTCCAATCACGGGGATTCGGTTTGGAGATCTTTGTTCCAATAGTTGGTCCTTGGTACCCGTTCTTTTGGGAAACTGTACCCACTGCAAACATGCACGTCTGTACCTGCCAGACGCAGATTGCAATCAGGGGTGTTGTTATGGAAGACAGGGTGTTGCTATGGAGATATTTAGCAATTTTCCCTGTCACTGACATTTGCTGCTTCGCTTCACAAAAGAGACACAAGAGAGGAGTGGCGTAGGTACGATTTTTAAAAGACAAGATTAGACTTTCCATTCCAAGAACCATTGAGTGCCATATCAGATTACAAATATTATTGACACTTACAGCATTCAAGAATAACACGGCTCCAGTCGAGGTCATGTTACGAGAAGCGAAGTATTCTAAAACATTACACAATATCCAATACTTATAGTTATACTTATAGTCACAGAATAAAAATGATATCATCAATCAAGAAGATTCATCGTCTGTGCTGTTGGAATTTATGAAATAAATCCATTCACGTTATTTTATCATAGTGATTGATACTGGTAAAAATACATTTTTGTGACCAAACTTATACCAATCCCTTGTGAATAAAAGTTCGAATAGGCTATAGACGTTGATAAGGTAACAGCTACTTTCCACCATGTACAGGACACGAATAGCATCAACAACTAGCAAATCAAGAACAACCATTTAACTCAGGAGGAACTTTATTGAGGGCGCCCAGCCTGTCATTCCGCCAAATATCTATACTATGATTATTATCTATACTATGATTATGAACATAAATATAATAACCTAGTAAGAGGAACTCAGACACAGCAACACATGAAATACAGCTCGGAGTACGATCAGAAACCAGGAGGAAGCTCTTAACCCAACACATCGTCCATCGCAAGATCAGGAAGCTCCTTCGAGGAAATGCTCTTGAAGATTCTGAGTTCCAATCTAGGAGCAGCTCGGTCATGTTTTCAATGAAAAAGCTTTTTACTTTACCGAAACTGAAAGTCTCACCCTAGGGGCTTTTGTGTTCTAGAACTGGAGTAAGCCTTAACTTTCCACTGTTAGCATTATAGTTATACAAGTCCTCAGAATAGTCTATGTAATAATCGCCATCAGTTGGCACAGAAGGACCAGTTTTTTCATGATTGATAGTTTGGAATGTATACCGCAATATATTTACCATAGCCAATTACGATTGTATATTTACAACTTTCTCGAACAGGGTCTTTGAGGAGTGCCGGCTATGTGACGTTGAGCAGCTCGGATAGCTAGAATGTGTTTAGTTTTACAGTTACAGTACTTCAAATTGTCAGGAGGTTCTCAAAGGATTGTGAGCGATGCAAAGAGGCGACCAAGTTCAGACCAGGCAAACTTGTAGACACTTAACAAATTATGGAGTATTCAAATCTTGGTTAGAGATGAAGCGCCCTAAATAACTTTCTATCAACTTTTTTAGCTACTCATTATATTTTACGAAAGAAACGACTGAGAGGAATAATTATTAACAAAGGAAAGTTAAAGCCCTAAATGAGTGGCAAGTAAAATCGATGATCCCTGCAGGAGATGGCGTAAAGTACATATTTCGAGGATGATCTCTTTTAGAGAGGCTTTAGAGAGAGGCTCGATCTCAACCAGGGAGGGGAACTCCTTCACAAGATATCAAGGAAGATATGCTGACATGAACTTCACATAACAAGGTCCTACTTCTCATGTCTGATGTAAGAAAATAATTATACAAATTATTTCCTCATTGCATTTACATACGAATACTCTTAAACCTTAAAGAGAACTGATATATTACCTATCTCCTTTAGAATAGAAGGATACAGACGTTTCTACTAAAGACTGAAGGCAGAAAGTGGAATTTCATAACGGCTCAGAAATACATCACGTGATCCCTTTAAAACTTTAGGATGGTGTGTTATTATAAGACTCCTTAAACTTGTCTCCTTAAAACTTGTCTCTCTGAGACATCAAGAAAACAGTCGTGTCTCCGTAATACTTCAGAAAGACATATGCGAGCATTTCTAGGTGTCAACTAAGAGCTCACTTTCTCTGCAGTTCTAAAATACAAGAAGATAAACCTATGGTTCACTCTTTAGGAGACATGGGCGTATGTGTAGACATATCAGAACGGATACCATACCGTCATATTATGGTTGCATAATGCATATGCTAAAACAGAGTTGAAGAAAGAAACTGTTATTACGCTACTATAAGTATTACGAGGTTTCTTAGAAATATACTTGCTAATAGCTGATTTCAACTGTATAAATGTAAAGTCAGTCATTTTGAGTTTAAAAATAATTTCTAAACAATTATACTTTAAACATTAAAGGACATTGACATCTTTTTAACTTCCAAAAATCAAGTAATTCGAAATAACTTTAAAATTCATCGGCCTTTCGGCCTTCATCCGTCAAAATTTTACAAATTGACTATTTTTCGAATCAAATATGGCAATTTATAGAATGAGAGTATTAATCCATGATACTCCTAGATTTGCCAATGTTCATGCCAGATTGACTGGCCCCCTTATGACTCCCCATTTGCAGGCCTATCATAGTGTCACCCTGCTTAAGCTGCTCGTCACTGAACTCTCTAGGGTTAGCTTCAGATATCGTCGCTCCAATAGAGGCTCCAGTGTAACCGTTCTTACTGGCCACAGAGCCCACAGCGTATAGGGTGCATAGAACCTGATACATACGAGGGTTAGCTGCTGCGCTTATACTAGGGTTGCTATGGAGATCAGGATTTAGGGTGTTGCCATGGAGATCAGCGTGTTGCTATGGAGATTAGGGGTGTTGCTATGGAGTTCTAGAATCTTGCTTTGGAGCCCGGATAGTGTTGCTCTGGATATCTTGGTGGATCATGTGGTGCCGTTGGAGAATCAAGTAATTGTTTACATCGTAATACTAGTCATGTTAATCATTGTGCCGTTGCCATCAGCCACAGGCACCAGTTGGAATAATCTTATGGCCAATAATCTTTTGCTGTAATTTCCAGATTTCACTGACATTTCGAAAAATATCTTAAATCGTTGGGCTATGATCATGAAAATCTGAAAAATTGAAAAAAACTTGAAAAATGCCACAATTAGTTTAATCTTAATAAATGTAATCAAAGCAAAAACCTAAAAGTCCTCATAGTATAATCATGAATGTAAACAGTTCAATATGAATATTATCTGGCGGTCCTACACTAGTGACTACACTAGTCCATGATGTGCCTAGTTTTGCCGATATTCATGCCCGCTTGGCTGGCCCCCTTGTTAGTGCCGTACTGAAGACCTATCACCGTCTTGCCGTCATTCATCTGTTGCTCTGTGAACGTTCTCTCGTTCTTCTGTGACAGCTTTACCCCGATAGAGGGCCCTGTCCAGCCGTTCTTAATGGAGACGGCACTTACAGCGTAAAGAGCGACATTAACCTGGAGAGATAGTAGGATGAGGGAGACAGTGCACTTCTACCACTTCTCACTCTTTATTCCTCACTATCATGCTCAATCCTTCCGTTATAGCACACAGTAGCTCCATACCGCACACAAATATAGCTCCATATATCGCATACTTCAGCATAGCACACAGTAGCTCCATACCGCGCACAAATATAGCTCCATATATCGCACACTTCAGCATAGCACACAAATAAAGCTCTTTATTTATTAAGCACACTCTATATTACAAATGACACGATCTAATACTCAGCTTTCACACAGAGAGTAACAGTGTATAATTATAAACCGGGTCTCAAGGACAGAATAACATGGGATTCAGAGAGTTCACACAATATTCACGAGTGTTAACTAACAATTCAACGGACCGGCTAGGGTGGACGGATTAAAACGAAAGTCAGGGAGTTTTATAAAGAAACACTAATCGGACACACTTCTGTCAATATTCAAACTTATTAATGAGTTTGCCAACGGAGCAGACCGATTAAATATAATATCACATTTATAGGCTAAAACTACTGGAATCTCGGAATCCTAGACACGGTAATCTGGAGCACCTCAATAGTTTGTTTCTGAAGGTACATTCTTTACTAACAACCTTCATCACACTGCGCATCTTTGACCATCTTTAACAATCTTACAAGCTCTTTTTAGACTAACGAATAAATAGGATTCAAGTATCATATTGAGTAATATCAAAAGCCTGGAGTACCATAATAGCATTAATACTGCTAGTTGCAAGTACCTTGAGCCTATTTCAAGTACCTTGAGTGATATATTCACACGGGAATGGGCTAATAACTGTAAAGTTGTACGCAGGTCAAATGCAAGATGTTGACTATTCGCAGAGACAGGTACGTGATTTTAGGAGCTGACTTCTTGATCCACCACGTCAGATGAGAACTGACGCCTGGCTGCAGCGGTAATAATACCAGATGAGAACTGACGCCTGGACTGCAGCGGTAATAATACTAGATGAGAATTGACGCCTGGACTACAGCGGTAAATACCAGATGAGAACTGACGCCTGGACTGCAGCGGTAAATACCAGATGAGAACTGTCGCCTGGACTGCAGCGGTAATAATACCAGGTGAGAACTGACGCCTGGACTGCAGCGGTAATAATACCAGATGAGAACTGACGCCTGGACTGCAGCGGTAAATACCAGATGAGAACTGACGCCTGGACTGCAGCGGTAAATACCAAATGAGAACTGACGCCTGGACTGCAGCGGTAATAATACCAGATGAGAACTGACGCCTGGACTGCAGCGGTAATAATACCAGATGAGAACTGACGCCTGGACTGCAGCGGTAATAATACCAGATGAGAACTGACGCCTGGACTGCAGCGGTAATAATACCAGATGAGAACTGACGCCTGGACTGCAGCGGTAAATACCATATGACTCCAATGATTAAGCACCGTTAACAGGGTGCGAGGTACTTTCTTATCGGCTGTTTTATAAGGTTAAGTTGTATTGGCACAACCAGGAGTTATTAGAACGTGCTTTGTGTAATCTTAGCTAGATTTGTATTATATTCTATAATCTTAGGTCGTATTTAATTAATTATTAATTATAGTCTCATTATCAGACATATCAGATCTTTAGGGTGCTTATTATCAGCTCGATAACAATAAGTTCCTTAATATTTATTACAGTGCTTATATCACATTATCAGATGCTTCGAAAGTGCTTCGTATTTTGTTTCACTATATATTATCACATCGCACAGTATTTCTCTCTCACCTTTCTCCACAATAATCCATAAGTCGCTGATTCGTCTTATCTTTCTCAAGATGATGCTTCGCACCACAATTCATGCTTCACTAACAAATTTGAATTTAAACTTTCGAAATAAAATTAAAGGCTTCGTTTTAATTCGCGGGATTTAATCAAACGTGTTGGCAAATAGCCAACTTTGCACTGGAGGCTTTGTACGCACTCGCACTCGCACTGCTTCACGAAAGTTTTTGATAAAAATTGGCATGTCACACTCGCTTGTCACACGTTTCACGGAAAACACAACACATAGAATGCTTCACAACTGTTCAGTAATTAAGTGATTAATTAAGTAATTATATCAATTAATGAGGGGTGAGTTTAGGTGGACAGAATATCCCAGGGTTTACTGAGTGTATATTAACTATAAACTATCACTCACATCCCTCTCTTGTGGAGAGGGATGTTGAATGATAATAAGTAATACGATACTCTGACTTCTTTAGCAGGGTGTAATCTTTCATAAACCCTACATTTTACTATCTTTTAAAGCTTCTTTACTTCTCTTTTTAAAAATTAAGAAAAGGCGACGGAGCCTCGTTTTTGCGAATTCATTTCTGGAATATTCTGTCTCGCCCAAGAGAAACATTATCGGTGCATAGTTAAGTGACATAGTGAGTGTGCTGTTAACTGAATTAGTAGAGTTGATGAGAGGAATGGTGGAGGTGGAATGATTGGTATGTGGTGACGTTATGTGGTGACGTCATGCGGTGACGTCATGCGGTCAGGATTGCAGGTTTACTTATCGTACCATTGTAAAGAGGGCAAGATTGTCATCCGGTGAGAATTGGTTATCTGGTTACAGGGAACATATACCTAATGCCTATTTTCGGTGTGAATATATGATTATATCTCCGGAAATGCGATCCAGGGAAGGGTCAGGCGTTTATGACGTGATTCTATATCTAGGATTATGGAGCGAGGGTACATTTCAGCAGAAGATATGGGAAATAGAGAAGCTAGTGAAAGTGAAATGAGTGAAATTGAAATGAGTGAAATTAGTGACAGTTTTCTTACCTGGCTCATGTTTTGGCACTCGTACAAATCAGCAGTCTGGAAGATATCTCCGTCCTTGAGTCCAAAGATCTTGCATCCCTTGATGAACTGTTCGATGTTCTCCATCTGAAAATATTCTTGTTAATATCTTTAATAATATTTTACAATTAAAATGCAGTAAAAAAAACAATAACAGTACATAGTATAATCTATCTAGACATTGACGATCCGCATGTTCTTGATTTATGTACTAACAAATAGACCATGTCTAAGCTCTAAGGTCTAGCACCTATAGTTATTTGCTAAATCATTTTGTCCCATTAGAGTTTAGACTCAGCAAAGTTTTCAGGCATTTCTCGATTAGAGTAGCGGGTACTCGTGCCACTGACAATAAACATTTTATGAGAAAGTGGACTGTAAAATCTAAATAACTTCATTTCGGCACGCATAGCTTGTTGGTAGTATGTTAGAGGTGAGGAATAAATGTTTGGACTTTTACCCTCCAAAGCCGCAGACATCAACTAAATTTTGTAAAAGGTAATACTGGTAAACGACTTCATAGCCGCTTGTTAGAAATCCTGTGTGGAAGCCTATTTTGAGGAGTTATTCGTGCTTGTGTAGGACTAGGAGATGATCACGCTGTCAGAAGTGCGATTAGTTAGCAGCATAATAGCTGGAGTATAATTATGTGAGTGAGAGTATTAAATATGGGGAAACCCTACAAGGACCCAGATAATGTCTGGTCGGGTCACGTGACACTTCTGTCGGATCACGTGATCAAACACGGCTCAGCTATTGGTACACAAATAATTCTGCTCGATCATGTGATGAAATGCCGCTTAACTATTGGTGGAGTGTGGACATGTACTAATCGGAGGCTTCATCTATTATCAATAAGCTTTGCTAAGAATGTGTGCGGAGTGGTATGTGTGCACGTTGCACTCCTTCTATTTGTGCATCTAACAACTTACAGCAAGCATTTCAGCCTAAAATACGACAGTTGTACCTCTTGACTTCATCGGGGCTGTAATTATTTAGAATAAGCGATTCTGAGACGAGACCAGGGGATATAATTTAGCACACCACAGTTTTCATTTAGTGGGGAGCAGAAATTTGATATTAATTCTTAAATTTGGACATATTAACTGTTGTTTAGGGCTCTAACATATTGCAAGTGTGTAGCGCGTGTAGAAATTACAGGTTTAATTAGACAAATCTAAATGATTAATACTAATGACACTTTGTGAAGATCATAGCTTTTATGCCACAGATTTATTGAGTCAGAATGAAAACACGATCAATAGACAAACGCAACACAACTTCTAGGTTCAAGTTGATATGATTTGAAAAATTTGCACTTCCTACAGAATCCTTGATTACAAAAGCTCGCCGCATCCCATCAACATCCACCATATAATAACGATTATACTATATTTACGTCTTCAGTTTACAAATCAGTGAAACACAAACATACTATGCGGGGGGACTACAGACCCCCTCAAAGTCCTATTCAACGTTACTGCCAGGTTACATAGCACTCAAATTATTTGTTATATAGTAGTGTTGAAAGTATTACAATATAATATTATATCATATTACGTTATATTGTATTATATTAGTAATGAATTGACTCTAACCTGTTTGAAGGCCATCTTCTGTTGGTTAATCTTCTTGACGAGGGGCTCTCCGTTGAGAGTGTTGAGGAGCCTGTAATCATAACTCCGTTACAAGGGGAATATATTAATTCATTAGTTACTCACCAACATAATATGTGCTCGTGTTACAACACTAACTCTTGGTAGAACAGAGAAGAATATTTTGTTACATAAATTCCTAGCCAACTTATTAAATTCTGAGATGGGCTTTTGTACGAGAATATTGGTGTCAAAGTTAAAATAATTTTGATGGAATGTTAATGTAGAAGGGCCTAGGCCACCGCAAAGTAATGATTCTTCAAGAATAAATTAGATTTTATGCTTTTATAATGTAGAATAGAGCCGTTGAAGCCAGGTGCCAGGTGCCCCTTGAGTGAGCAGGGCAGAATTTCACAGTACCGAGGAGACTTTATCACCCGTATTATATTTCAGGTAGAACTCGAACTATAACTTCGTTTATGAACGAAGTAACTTGCACTTTAACTATTACTTATATTAATTAACTAAGTAACCAGACCTGTTAAAGTAATGTGGGCACTTATAAAAGTGTTCGAATTTATTAAAACATTAAACATGTGAGGTTTCGGGCGGAGCATATGTCATTGTCCGTATTTTTAATTTCAAGGGCTCACTACTTAGGCCTCGGCAGGTCTGAAATTCTACAATTATAGACCAACTGATTGGTGGTTTCTAGTTCTAAAAGTTAGGGCTTCAATAATTTGATTTATGTGAGCTTAAATTTCCTTGGTACAGACTGGTGTTGTTTCTAAAAATAAGATCAAGCCCTAAAGGTAAATTTAAAACCAATCACAAACTGACCGATAGCAATTAGTAACGTAGTCAGACTACAGGATACTTATAATTCATGTTGTAAAGATTGCGGGAAGGGTTCAGGTGGAAAACATAACAAACTAAAGAACCTCTAAATTGCTATGAATTGAAATATATTCCCAATCATGCCTAAAACAACCTCACAAACATGGTAAAATAGACGCTGGTTAGGAACTTACTTGCAAAGGATTTGTCCGTCCCTGAGGCACTGTTGGAAGTTGTGCATTCCCAATTCCGAGTTGGACAGTTTCTCTCCGAGGACTTCCTCAATCCATGCTCGGCACTGTGCCTCCTGATCCTGGCTGTACTTAGCTTCAAGCTGAAACAAACAGTGGTTAGTTGGTGGTTAATCATACCTTTAAGTTGAAATGAGGCAGTGTTTAGTTCGTGGTTAATCTAATTTTTGAAAATTTAAGGGGCAGTGGTAAGGTGGTGATTATTATGTGGCTTGGCAGTGGGTTATGGGGACCCCGACAACGATTGACATTAAACGTGCTACAGAACCCAGCAAATTAATTTCCCAACGAATAGAATGAAGAATATTTTATAGTTAAGCAACCTTTTTCTGGATATCTCTGGAAAGGCCGGATTTCTCTGCACGGTTAGACGACATATTTAGAACAAAGATTACACACGAATAAGACGATATTAGGCGAGAGGAAGAAAGCAACAGCACACACTGAAGGTAATATAATAGTGTCCCGCAATGTAATATTGAAGATAACGCGAAACGATCCGCCTCATCCACAGAACCCCCACTCTTCTGCTACACCGCGCACCCTCTTCCACAGGAGGGCCCGAGCTCTCAGCTGTGACACTGTGATGATGTAACCTCGCCAGGAAATAGAAGCTCAGTCCTCCAATCATTTCATCATGAACCTCTACTCCAGTCCATTATGTTGTCATGTATATTTGATGTGTTCTACAGGATTATTACTCTAATTAGCTTGCTGCTATCTCAATGATTTAATGACTGCTTCAGTTTTGATTTAAAAGGAGGGCAAGGTCACAACTCACATAGGATCGTCAGCACGCGAACTTCTTAACAATAACTCATTTGTTATCGTTCTGACAATGGGGGCTGGGGCTAGTCAAGTGTATACAGTGTACACGGACATAAGTACATTATTATTAGTGAAGAGTACACCCCACATCGAATATTACAATATTATTTTCCTCTGTAAATGTATATTATTAAGTGATGTAAATTGTAATAAGTAAGTTATAGGTACTTTCTCCCAGGGGCGGCTGGTGCTTAACTATTGTGCTATTTGTCTAACATCGTCAGTACACGATACATACATGGCTCATTAGGAAGGATTAAAAGTATCATTGGCTACCCTCTCTTAAGATGAACTCGCCCACCAGCTGACACTTCTTACATACTAACGTTCCCTAATATTTCCTTGAGTAGGTCATGAGCGCATTCAGAAATCAGATTGTTACATCTCGCAAAATGGGTATAAGTACAGGACAAGAGTTCTGCGAACTGTGAAGCTCACTTCTACTCACTTCTACTCTAATAATGTGTTAATCCAGCTACTACTCACTTCTACTCTATTAATGAGTTAATCCAGCCACAGCTCGTGCAGCTAATTATATAACTTTACTTTTCATGATACTATAGGCACTCTATGACCTAGTAGTCATTACGAGCAATAGCCAATAACAATACTAAACCTTTCAATCAGTAGGAGGTATCTATAAAGTTGACACCCAACTTGGTAGATGAGACAAGGCTAGTCTTTACCAGTTACAACCAGACATCCTTTAATACTCTCTCACTCCACCAACATCAGCTCATAAGTACTTTGCTCTCCTACTCAGTACTCAGCAAACATTTGGATCCGTCCTGCATGTCGACCCACTAACATCCACCATCTTAAACGTGCGTATAGGAATGCGAAATATGTTGCACTTTTACTTTCTCGCACTTCGGAGAGGATTAAGTGAACAGATTGGAGATTAAATGGCCTCCTCAGTCCTCGCTATATTTTTAGCGAACTTTCGGAGGATTCTCTGCGATCCTCAACATTGCATGTGGAAATTTGACAAATAGAAAATTTGTCAGTAAATTACCCCTCCCTCGACCCTTTATGGTTGCCTAGTGATTTGGAGGATGATTCCTGATCAATATATTCAATTGTGGAGTCTTCTAACAGAGGACATAAAACTCATTTTGAGACTAGACATGGAGAATGTAGTAGATTCTATAAAGTAGACACAACGGAGCTTACAGAACAGCTACCAAAGTCTAGACCTCTAGAACATTCTACTTCATTATCGAGCTACTGACACACACCATGAAGTCATGGTTACAATCTGAGGCATACTTTGGTATTTCATATTTCATGACTACTCGAAACTGGTGCATATAATATGCTATAAATCTGTCCGAACCGGTAAATAAGAGTGTAGGATATCATAATGTGGCATTTAGTTTTATCATTTACAGCACTTGAGAATATTTAATAACCCCCCCATGAGCTCATCGGCTAACTTTATGTCTCAAAGTGCGTGGTGATATTTCAAAGTCTTTAGAGGTATAATTATCTCCTGTGATTTGAACCAGTTCAAATGATTGTTGCAGAATTGTTTGGTATGATTTTGACCAGTTGAAATCGAGTGATAATTTCGGCTACTTCTAAGTAAAGTTTTAATCGAGGTTCAGACACCTAACATAGCGTATCAGTTGATATTTCCTAATAAAAACAGTTCTAACCTCTAATTCTACTATATCACCCAATTAATTTTGCTAACAAGATAAACTAACTAAATGCTTGATAACTCATTCATTTCAAATCCGTTTCACGTCATTTTTTCTGATCAGATGCAACATGTAATAATCTACCGTCTCTGAAAAAATTCTCTCTGAACAGCATGTTCAGAGAGAACAATATAGGTGTTTTAATAATGAATGGGCGTGGTCTAAAATATTCGAATTTTCAAATTTTGACGACAAAATCCTCGAACCAGAAGGTACAGTATGCTATCTGCAAAGCAACAGCTCTCAAATATAAAACACGGCGAAGCTATTAAGGCCAACGTATGCCCAATGACTTTTGGCCCACTTTTGTATTTACTTATATAGAAGAGAGTGATTTAAATTTGAGAAGGATGTATGGAAACTGTATTAAATTACTGATAATGAGCTTACCTTCTTCTGGATATCAGCGCTAAGTCCGGACTTCTTTGCTCTTACGTTTTGAGACATGTTTGTGCGAGTAGCTAGACGGTAGAAATAGTAAATAAAACATAATCTCATTATCTTTATTAACAATTCGAGTAAATTACGCAGAAAAGTAAAGAAGCAAATAAATTCCGAGAACTTTAAAAGTATAAGAGTAGAATTTAACCACAATAGAATTAAAATTCTAGTTGAAGTATAACTATAAGAGTAGAGGCTAGCCACAATAGAATTACGATCAAGGGCCGGAATAGATAAAGTAGTATTATCAATTTTTTTAATAATTTCAACACTTATTTTACTGCGGACATTCCAACAGCCACATAGTTACACAAGTGTAACCAGCCAATTACAGGAAGCCGAAGGATTCAATTATACATTAAGCCAGTGACGGTTAAGGTAGTGTGTACCATACTTTCTTCGCCCGAGACTTTGCTGCAATGGGCAGCTCCTCATTTAACCCTCACACCCGATTTCTCGAGTATTCGGCTGAGTCGACCGGGGGGCTGCATAGACCACTCAGGATCCTAAGCTGAGCGTCGACGATGCTCTACCACGGCTAGTGACAGAGTCGGGAATCGAACCTGGTACCTCGAGAAATGCCAGGTCGATTTACCAACTGAGCCACTAAGCCGATAAAATAGCCGACAATAGAATAAAATAGGAATAGATAAAGTAGTATTATAAATAAAGTCAGGTAACGGAGAGTTAGGACTGGGCGAGGACTTAAATCAATCGGTCTCACCCATGTTGCATCTGACTTACAGGAAACAAAATAGCACAAATAAAATTAGAAAAATAAATTATGAAAATAATATAAAAGTAATAAATATTTAAGCAACAACGAATAGGTTGAACGTAATAAAGTGATCCATACTACACGCTTCAAGCCTCAATGTGTCGCTTAAATTTAGCAACTGCTAATTATATTAACTCTCTGCTGAAACATGCCATCATCAACTCACAGGCTTGACAACAGTTTTGACATCATATTTGGTGGATACGCCAGAATGCACCGTATATGGACATGACTTGCTATATCATGCGTGAGCTGTCAATATTTGGCGTGATACTGCGACCACGCTGATCAAATTCCTGGAGATTTTAACATATCTTAAAGGCGGCTGGATAGTGGGAGTAGTGACTGTACAGCAGAGAAGCAGTGCAGGAGACATGTGTCATCAGATACAGCCCCTGTTAACACATCAAACAGCGGAATATTGAGGAATTTTGGGGAAATTAGTGAAATATTTTCACGTAAAAATCATAAATCCCGCAAGCCCAGGTTTTGTGGCTTGATTGTGGAACTCGTTGAACTTACTTAAATTTTAACAGGTTGAACCTAAGCTAATTTATTAAATTCCTGACACGAGATTCATTCACACGTTCACAAAAAATGTTGAAAATTACAAGCACTTGAAAAACTTCTTCAAGAAGTTCTTGTTTACGACCTTAGGACCCTAGGAGACTATCACTATCAGATTATAAGGGAGTTAAGATTTATGTCTAAGTTTAGTAGGTTCTGAGCATAATGAGTGGCAGCAACCGACACACCTTATCGAACCTAAGTTTTCCGGACAATATTAAATTTGCTTATGCTTTATACAGGCCCTTACAATTCCTTCATTCAAGAAAAGAGGCCTAAACATACCTACTAAATTTGTATTTTTTTAGCAACCTGCTAATCTCGGATTAACTTTTGCCTAGAGTTTCAATTATGTACATGGTGACAATATGAATCATCAAACATCGAATATTGCACTTTTATGATTGAAAAGTTTAAAGTTCGATGTTTCTGCAGAAAAAAGTCAAACTTTTGGGCGTCTCAAAGGTTTCCGCCCTGGATATCTTCCTGTATTTTTCAACGTAATGGAACTTAGAACAGAGACGAGCGAGTACTGTGAGTTGACCGAAATCAATTTAACAAATAACTGTTCATCAACTCTCCTAATTTCGTGAATTAGTCTAAACTCAAGACCTTGAAATTATGCCTATTTCAGAACTCTGACCATTATCAACTCCACAATTTTTTGACGGATCTTAAATGCTTGCACACATTGAACGTTTTGTCAAAAAATTCGCCACTTCCAAATCAACAAGCATTGATAAACAATCATCAGAATCTAAAGAATCATGTAAAACTTCGACAACAAGCACTCCGACAGACACATTTTGTAGTTTCTACAAAAGTTTAACCTGCACCGTATGTGAAAAGCTTCAAATTCGAAGAAAGAAGAAGGCTATCATCCACGAAATTTCATTTGAGTTCGGTTGGCGAAACGATCTTCTACATATTCTCAAGAAACCCGGTGGAGCGAGTAAATTGCAAATAAAGTTCAAAGATTTAAAATGTTAGGTATTCATGTCACCTAACACCAGTCATCTTGAGCAGTCATGAAATCATCGAAATTCAATAACGTAATCGTTTATACTCAATATCAAGAATCCTGGCATTATGATATCTGAGTTACTATTCGCCTATTAATATCAATGGAAAAACGTAAGAAATGGGTGTTTATTATTAAT